GGCGTGCTGGCTTCTCCAGCGCCGGCTCGATGGCCTGCTCGACAATTGCGTGTGCTTAGCGCACCTATGACACAGCAGCAGCAGCGCCACACACACAGAGAGAAAGGCCGTACGCGCGGGATCTTGGCGGCCCAGAAGGCCTGGTAGAAGCGCTCGCCCTCGGCCGAGCTGTGGAAGATGAACTTCTCGGGCACCTCCTTGAGCTTCCACAGCAGATGGAGCTTCTTGCGACTCCCCGATGGCCTCGTCACCTACATGGTGTGCCCCATTGTTCATGCCGACATGAAGGTGTCAGTGACTGTGTAGCAAACGACACGTGGGTGGTGGTGGGTGGTGGGAGTTGCCTGCAGAAGCGAGTCGATGGGCATGGTGGTGGGCGAGGACTTGCGGAGCTCGTACATGGCGATCGTTTGCTGGATGAAGGAGGAGCTTAGCTTGATCAAGCTAAGTGCGTGAAAGAAAAAGGGTAGAATAGAAATGAAGAAGAAGAAAAGGAAAGGAGGGCTGTTATGTACCTGCGGTACGTCGATGATGAGGGTGACCTTCTTCGAGTGTCGCTTTCTCTTCTTCCGAATGGCGTGGAACAGGAATGCGCCCTTGCGATGGTTCGGCGGGAGGAAGAATTCACCAGACTGCGGGGAGCTGGACAGAGCGCCGTCGGGTCCCAACGACGTCAACTCCTACGCGTCGGTTACGCAACACGCACCGCACACACACCGCGCACGCACGCACGCACGCACACCATACGATGATTTTAAGTTGAAGCGGCCACAAAGATGTCCTGGTGGGAGTGGTAGCGCACCCTTGACGACGCCATGGAATCGACTTCGCCGACGTCGTCCGAGTCATCGTAGTCGTTGGGGTCGTAGGGCGGGATGTCGTCGAAACTGTCGAGCCACTCCTTCTCGGCCTCCTGGTCGACCCCCTCCTCGTCGGCCGTGTCCGTGGCCGGCTCGTTGCCGCTCTGCTGGTCCCGCTCCTCCTCCTCTGTGTCCCTGTCCCGGTCGCTGCCACTGGCGTCGCGCTCGATCGCGCTCCCCGATCGGCTCGAGGCCACGAGGCCGAAACCGAGCGTCGACTTGTTTCGCAGCCGACTCTTGCCGCTGCTGCGCAGCTGCGAGTGCTTGCGCGTCGTGCCCGAGCCGCTGCTGCTGTCGTTGTCGTCGCTGCCGCCATCTTCGCTGCTGTCGCCATTCGCACTGGCGCTGGCGTTGGTGTTGGCGAGGGCGGGGTGATTGAGCAATAGTGGGGCGTTGCCACCCGAGACGGTGATCGCCTTGCGAGGCCGGACTTGGAGGCGCGCTGAGCCGCTCGGCAGCAGGCCGAGTGAGGCCACATCGGGCGGCAGTTCGAGCGGACGCGGCGGAATGCGCGCCACGGAGGGCGTGGCCGGACTCGAACTCGAGCCCAGCGGGGTCTTGAGCTGTCGCGCTGAGGTGCGACGCAGCTGGAGGGCCGACCCGCCTCCATTGCCGGTGGTCGGGCCGTAGCGCAGCATATCAGGCTGCTCAGCGATGCGCTGCGGCACGGAACCCGACGTGAAGCTCCGCTGCACCGTTGATAACAAACTAGAGTTAGTGTTGTTGTTGTTGTTGTTGTTGTTGTTGTTGTTGTTGTTGTTGTTGTTGTTGTTGTTGTTGTTAGAGAGGGTGAGAGTGGTGTTACCTGGCGTGTCATCTTGTTGAGGCGTTCATGCTGGTTTCGGGGCAGGACGGGAGAGGTGGGCGAGGGCGCGTGAGAGGGCGAGGGCGAGGGCGAGGGCGAGGGCGGGGAGGACTTGGCCACGGGCGGCGCAGCGGCGGGCTGGACCGGCGACAGGGTGGTGGAAAACGAGCCCGAGCCAGCGCGGGTGATCGGAGCCGATGCGGCCAGCAACCCAGGCTTGATCTCCACGGAGCGCCGATAGAACTTGTAGTAGTCCTTCGTCTGTTACGTTAACAGCACCACGGCACGACACGACACACGCGGCACACGCACACGCCATGAGTGCGGTCGGTGAAGGTCAGCGCCACTGATGAGTGCGGCCAATGGGCCAGTGAGATTGGTGGGGCGCGGACCTTCCGGTGCGGGAGGTTGGGCGAGGAGGGCTCCTGGCCCGCCGGCTTGTCGACGGACGTCACCGAGACCTCCGGTATGGCGTCGGCCGACATCGAACCCGAGTACTCCGGGAGGTGGTCGAACGTATCGCTCACCGTCACCGCTGGCGCTGGTGCCAAGTAAGAAATAGAATAAGAATAATGCACAACAAACGCAAATAAATAGATAAATAATAAAGAAAGCGCTGGAGCGACAGGGGAAGGGGTGAAGTGGGTACCGTGGGGCGGCGGGGCGGCTACGGGGGCGGTGGCGGTGGGCACCTGAGTCTGGAGGCGATGTTTGGACGCCTGGATGTCGGGCACGGAGGAGACCAGTTGGTTGGCGCAGTTCTGGTAGTGCGAGTCCATGGTCTGGGCGAACGCCCACACGAGCTCGGCCGTGTTCATGAGGCCCTTCACCAGGGTGTGCTGTAGCCGGATGCCCGTTTGCACCTGCTCCAGCATCAACACCTGCATCCCCAAATGATTTAATAATTGCAGAGTTAATGCATACGCATCGTCTCACTGACCAATGAAGATGAGGAGAATGAAGGCCTGCTTGGTACCTCCTTCAGGCGGTCGCGCTCGTCTTCGGCCTCAGCGAGCTTCTCAAGATTCACCTGACCCTTCTTGGCGTTGATCGACCGCACCTTGAGCACCGCTGCGTCGTAGTTGGCTCGAGATTTGTCGTACTTCTTTTTCTCCCTCTGATGTAGCAGCCACACATCGACGGCGCGTGTGTAAGTCGAAAGAATGTGAAGCGGGCTATCGTTGACGAGGAGGGGGAGGGCGGCTCTCAAACCTTGGCCTCTTCGTACTCCTCCCGCATGGTGGTGCTGGTGACCAGTTTCGTCAACTCTTCGCACTGCAGTGTTGCCCACCAACGGCGGTCATCAGCAACCATGGTCATTATGCATCAGAGAGACAGCGAGCGGGTGTGGGTGGTGTGAGGCATACGAATTCGGCGTGCATGTCGCCGATGCGTTGGAGCAGCTTGCTGGCCGAGGTCAGACAACTCGCTGGAGAGAGGTGATGAAGTATGTTGGAATCGAGTGTGTGGCGGTCGAGCGCGAGAGCGGCTGAGAGAAGGATCAGCGCGACGTACCGAGCTCGGCCTCGTTCTCGGCGACCAAGGTGGTTCCCTTCTCGAACACTTCGGCCAGGGAACGCGCGTGGTACATCGTCTCTGTTCATTCATAGCACCACGTGGCCAGCGATGAAGTGGAGGTGAGCACGGCAGAGGCCGACGGCGGAGAAGTGAGGGAAAGAGGGCACAGCACACGGGCAAGGGCGAAGGACGGAACACGCACTGGAGTTGCTGCGAGTGAACTTGTCGATCTTGGTCTGGACCTCTTGTATGAAGTTGCGTGTATCCTTCAGCTTCTACTCAAAGTGAGATGGGAGATGGGAGATTAGTCATGCGCAGTAGCACTGAACGAGATGAAAAGCAAAAGAAAAGAAAATAATCTTGGCCATAGGGAGATCTCATGAGGAGGGCACAGGGTAAGGGTAACATACCACCATGTGTAGCTTCACGACATCAGTCGAGTGCTTCTTGGTTTTGGCCTTTGGGGTGATTGGCACGTTGTGGTTGACGTTCTGCCCGGTCGAGCCTATCCTCCATCCCATTTTCTTGCTGCGGCTCGAGCCGCTCCTCTTCTTGATGCTGCTCATCGCTGCCCCTTCTCGTTCGAGCCAATCTAATCTTTGATACCCCTCTCACTCCAAAATAGCAAGCTCCCCAACCTACCACCTCCACACAACCTCAAGCCACCTTTTCCTTCGATCCCGTCTCCCTAATCGATAGAAATGCCAACCTCTCGAGTTGAGTTGGTCGCAGCAAACAGCACCACCAAGCAACCATAAATGTTGCAGAAATTCGAAAGGAAAAATGATTTCCTCAACAAAGAAAGTATAAATAGGGCCGTGGAGTTGATGATTAATCAAGAAGAACCGGAAGGACGCATTGGATCCTTGCCGACGATAAGTTAGAAGAGGCTCGTAGTCATGGAAGTAGAGAAGAAGAACGCGGTGTCGGTGTACAGTCTCTACCGAAAATCGACGCTAGGCATCTGCCTGCAGGATGCGCTTGATGATCTGCAGGAAAGGAACCACATCGGGGCCGATCTCGCCCAAAAAGTCCTCGAACAGTTCGACAAGGTACTGCCCCCTTCTGCCGCACTTGCATCGCCGCAGGCTGCGAGCATTTTTTTCAAATCGCTGCTCGGGGGGGGAGGAATTCTTTTTGTTTGCACGGGGCACTGTCGCTGATGTGTGCCCGACTTGCAGTCGATGAGCGAAGCGCTTGCCACGCGAGTACGCACTCGCTTCACGTTCAAGGGCCATCTGCATACCTATCGGCTGGTCGACAACGTGTGGACCTTCCTCCTCGAAGACACCACCTTCCGCTCCGACACAGACGTCGTGACTGTGGACCTCGTCAAGATCGTGGCCTGCGAGGAGCGACAGCCCGGCCAGCCGCCCGGTGCCGGTGCCAAGGCTCTCTGAAGAAGATGAAGAGAGGCCTGGAAGCAGAGTAGCAGAGTAGCAGGAGCAGGCGTTTATGTATAAAGGCGGTCGAGGTAGAAGAAGAAGAACAACAACAACAAGAGGCAAGGAACAACTAGCTCTTGCCCATTTGTGTGTTGAAGGACGAAGCGATCGAGATCGCCACGTCCACCACCTTCTTCATCTGATCAATGTCCACGCTGATCGCATCTGCACCAAAGAAGAGAAGAAAGCGTTAGTGGAGGTGGTGAAGGTCGTTACGATCAGAGTGATGGGACGGGAGAGGCAGAGAGTAGTACGGGAGACGTGGACGGGGATGTAGATGTGGTTGGACTGCTTGGCCAGGTTGCGGAAGTAGGTGAAGCTCTTGACGCTGTCCGGTAGCAGCTCGATCAGAATAGCCTGGATCCAAGTTTCATCACCACGCCCGTCAAAAAATTCACCTACACGCACACGCACACGCACACGCACGCATCCAAGAGCGATCCACAAAGGAGGGGAGTAGTACCTCTGGAGGAAGGAAGACGGTGTGGGAGAGACCGGCGCCGTGCACGCCGATGAGGATGTTGGTCTTGGAGTACATGAGCTCGACCTGCTCCTTGAAGGTCATAGTCTCCAACTGTACGCTCGAGAACGAGGCTCGCCCTCGGCTGACTTCCTCGAGGGCCTTGACGACCTGGTCCTCGTTGCTGATCTTGCGATCGAGTTTTCGGCCCATGTAGTCCTTTCGCAAGATCAGGGTTATCCGCGGCTCATTGGGTATGTTGTGCTTCAGCATGCTGCGTAGAGCCACGCAAAAGACGATGAGATTGCGTGCGCGGTTTGGCGGTGTGTCGTGTCGTGTCGTGTCGTGTCGTGTGTGGAGCGCACCCAAGTTTGTTGAGGACAAAATGGGAAAAGGCCTCGAGGATATCGCTGTCGAGGCAGGGCTCGCCATGCGAGGCCCGCCACACATTGTTGTGAATGAACGTGCCATAACCTGCACGCACGCGCGCACGCAGAGCAAGCAACGCAACCAAACACCAGGCAACGAGCATTGTCAAACGGTCTCTGGCAATCACCGTTATCACTGGGTAAAGTGGGGTTACCTTCCCACGGCATGATCGCATCTTTGAAGCACACCTTGCCTTTGCCAACAAGCTGGGCAAGAGACAGGGCAGTGGGTCAGAAAAACGGCAAAACAACTGCAATTGTCGTCTCAATGGTTTTGGGGGGTGGGGTGGGGGTGCTGACGTACCTCCTTTCCCAGCACGAGCGGGTGGTCGGGAGAGAAGACCTTGAGCATGTCGGTGAAGGGTTCGGTCTTCTCATGCATGTCCAAGAGCAGCACCTGTGTGTTCTTGTCCAACTTGTCGACCACCTGCACATACAGAACCGCACAGCATCACACACACACACACACACACACACCACGCACACACACGCACACACCACACACACCAACCGTCAAAAGATGCGCTGGAATCGCCGGAGGAGAGTGTGCGTACCTCGAGGGTCGTGAAGGCGTTGATCCACTCGCCGAGCTGGTGGTACATATTCCATGCTTCGTAGCGCATGATAACCACCACCGGGTTCTGTTCACACCACATCACATCACACCACATTGTGAGCGGCGTGCTTAGCGCGATCGTTTCCCCCCCAAAGGGCTCCCGACTGGTGCGAGTGGTGAGACGCACCTCGTAGACGACGCCGCATTCGGTGGACTGGTCGGCGGGGATCTCCGCAAAGTTATTCCACAAGGCGCGGCTGAATTTGTTCTCCGTGCCCAGCATGTTGTTCACGTCCTTCACGATCGATCGATCGACCTGACACTGCGCGGAGAATGAACCTACCGACCCACTGCTGATCAGCGACTTCTCTGCGCACGCGCACCGCCGCACGCGCCTGCAACACGCGCACATGACCGCACACGCACACGCACACAACGCGCACACAACATGGCGTGAAAGGAACCTGGGCCAAAATGGGGGTGTCTGTTTTGTCCTGAGGAGTCGAACTCGCGGGGTGGGTTCCAAGGAATCTTGTCAAAGTCCACCACCTGAAATCATCCATCCACATGTGTAGTGTGCGCAAGGGAGAGCGTGTAAGTGTATGGTCAACTGGTGTGTGGTGTGTGTGGTGTGTGTGGTGTGTGGTGTGGTCAACTGGTGCGTGCGTGCGTGCGGGAACACGCACCAGGTTGAAGCCCTCGCAGATGGTGTCGGGCTGGCTGCTGCGACTGCCCCAGCCCTGCAGCTTGTAGCACTCCACACGCCCTTGCCCGCCCGTGTTCTTGCACCACTCCTGCTTCGCCTCCCGAAACCTTTGCACCTGACAACACGGTTATCATCAAATCTTAGAATGGCATATGATTGAGATGACACAGAGATTTATTTATTTATTTATTTATTATGTATTTATGATATATCGCGGAAGAGATTGCGCGGTGGTGCAAATTAATCTACAAACAAGAATAAATAAAAAGTATTTATAAATTCAAAAATCAATTCTGAGCAATCGGAGGAGCTTACCAGGGTGAGGCCCGTGCGCTCTTCGCATGCGCGTTCGGTAGGCGTGGCGCCGAGCTGGTTCAGCCACCGCTTGTAGGCGTTGAGTGGATAGGTGGCCGCCTCTTTCTCCTTGTGGCCCGATTCGATTGTGGCTCGCGTGAGATTGGCGAATTCGCCCCCCACAGCCTCGGCCAATCGAAGCAGTATCCTCTCGGTTCGCTCTTGCGCCGAGATTGACTCGGCCAGGGCGCCGGCCAGCCGATCGAGTCGCTCATCGTTCGACCTCGGTGCCGAGAGCCAGGCGAAGTAGAGGAGGGAGCCCACGGAAAGGAGTACGACCACCAGCAGAGCCGTCTGGTTCGTGGTGAGCCGCGTCTTCATCCTTTCCATTATTCTATTATTTCTTTGTTTTCAGTGAGAAAAATATATATAAATAATTAATAATAAAATGAATAATTAAAAAATTCGACCTGGTCAGTCGTTCTTCTTGTCGGAGGGCGAAGGGGCGGCGGCAGCGGTGTAGTAGCGCACAGAGAGGTCGATGCCCTCGTCGGGGGTGAACAGGGGACGCCAGCCGAGGTCGCGCTTGGCCTTCTCCACCGAGAAGTAGTATTCGGCGCGTGACACCACCAGCGTCGGGGGCGTCAACACCGTCAGCTGACCCAGCGGCAGTCGTCCACTTCATCACCATCATCACACCATCAAAAAAACCCAGAGAGAAGAGAGAGAGAGGGTCAGCCTGATGCAGACAAGAATGTGATGACCATGACAGCGAACGATGACGAAGAATGTTGACGTACTCGGTAAGGCGAGCCAGGAACTCAACGATGTGGGCGAGGACGGTGGCGACGTAGTGAGGGATGATACGGAAGGTGTGCCCAAACTTGCGTCCGAACTGACTAGCGAACTTGAAGTACTCCACCGGCGCGTCATCGGAGATAAAATAGGCCTGTGTGGCACGACCAAAAGAAGGCGTGAATGCAAATGTAAACGCGAGGACGGCAAGCGCAATGGTACCTGGCCAGCAGCGGGCGAGCCAGGAGCGAGCTTCTCTTCGAGCTTGAGGAAGCCATGGACGACATTCTCCACCTGGGGTAATTCACAGGAGTTAGCAAGAGATCCATGGCACGATCGGTCAGAAAGAACAACGTGACACTGGCAAGGAGAGAAGGAAGAAGATTGCCTACGTACATAGGCGTAGTCCTGCTTGTTGTTCAGCGTGCCCACGCCCGGATAGCCCGTTCCTATCAGCTTGGAGAAGAACTATGGTCGGGTCGGGTGAGATTGCAGTGACACGACCAACGACACGACAAGACAAGACCAACGACACGACCAACGACACGAGGGAGAGTACGTCGCGAGGGCCGTAGATGGCGTTGGGACGGATGACGCCGGTGAGAAGCCCATTGGGGCCGTCGTTGGCCGCCAGCACGGCCTTCTCGGCGATCATCTTGGTGTGGGTGTAGTGGCACAGCGGGTCCTTGGGGTAGACTGCCTTGTCCTCGCCCAGCCCACGGATGGGCTTTCTCAAAGTGTCTTTAAGGGGGCAGGTGGTATTGGTAACAGTAATAGGAGTGATATAATCGGAGCTAAAACCACATAGGCAGGGCGCGTACCGGAAGTCACGAAGATGGAGGCGGAAGAGGGGAAGAGCAGCTTTTTAACTCCGGTCTTGTGGCACGCCTCGATGATGTTCTTGGTGCCGACGTAGTTGACCTTGTTCACGAGCTCAAAATCGTGTTGCAATCTCGACCAGTAGTTGAGCATCGCTGCGGTGTGGAAGACGACGTCTCGGTCGCAACACGCATTGTACAGATGAGCTTCGTTGAGGATGTCACCTCGGATGAACGACACCTGATAGACAATGTTGTGCAGGCCACAAGGAGTGGTGGTCAGCCTCAGAGACTACAAGAATTGCCCGTCAGCTCGCCCAGAAAGTGTGTGTGTGCGTGCGTGCGTGCGGTGTGTGTGGTGTGTGTGGTGTGTGTGTGAGGAGCAGTACGTTGGGCTCGTCCTTGAACAGGTGTGAATCCACCGCATCAAAGATATGTACGTCTTCCTCACCTCGCGCCAGCAAAGCCTCCACAATGTGCGAACCTGCCCACAACGCGCACAGTTGTACCATTGTATGTCGGTCTCTCTTTTAAAAGAGGCCCAAATGCACTTCAACACTCCACCACCGCGTACCTAGGAACCCGTGGCCGCCGATGACCAGGTAGGCTTGGCCTGTCTTCTGCGTCTGTGGTGGTGGCAAAAAAAGAGGGACATAATTAGTGGTGAATTATATTATTATTAATTATGCTGGACGGGGGGGGGGTAAACGAACCTCGACTTTGGAGGGGCGCGAGCGAGGCAAAGGGATGGCTGCGCCGGGCTTTGACCGCCGTCGGCCGAGCAGGGCAGCCACCACCAAAGCCACGGCAGCGGCCACAACCACCGTCGTGACTGTCGTCGCGTCCATCTCTGCGTCAATAAAATAATAATAATAAATAAATTGAAACGCGAACTCCGGAAAGGCAGGACAACACGAACAGGCCATCAACATCGACACCACGCTGGTAGAATATGAAATATAGTATCAATATATTTGAATAGTCCAAATGGCTGCCCTCCCGCCAGACCGGCACGCAACGCTCAGTTGGCCGTCTCCTTGGCTTCGGCCCCGGCGTCAGACGAGCTCTCCTCCTTGGGCTGCTGTTGCGGCTGCGGCGGCGGCTGGGACTGGGCCAGCGGTGTCAAGTCGGACTTCATCGCGCGGCTGCTGGATCGGGAGCGGAGGGTGGCCACCAGCGCGGACGAGCTGGAGGGCGAGGCGCTGAGCCGCTTCTTTTTCTTCTTCTTCGCGAGCTTGGCCTTGTGGTCGAGCAGGAGGTCCTGGCTGCTGCTCGCGCTCTCGTCGCCGCCCTCGTCGCCCGCCACGCGCATGCGCGTCTTCTTCTTCTTCTTTTTCACCTTCTTCACCTTCTCGGCGGTGCTGTCATCGCCGTCCACCTCATCATCGTCATCATCGTCGTCCACCTCATTATCCGCCTCGCCCTTGTTGTTGTGCTTCGAGCGCTCCTTGTTCTTGCTCTTCGAATTCTTCTTCGTCGTCACCGCCTTCTTCGCAGCGGCGTCGGCGTCGTCTTGTTCGTCGTCAAAGACGTCGTCCTGGTCCTCCTCCAGTATGCTCTCGGTCTCGGTCTCGGTCTCCGACGTGAGCACCGACCACGAGTCGTCGCCCTCGCCGCGGCCCCGGTCCCTCACCGACACGGTGAGCGACAGCGACGAGTCGGACGAGTCAGAGATGTGGAAGAGGCTGAGAATGTTGGAGTTGTTGAGTATCGAGTCCACGTTGCTGTTGACGTCCTTGGTCCTCGACATGAAGCGCGCCGCCAGCTCGTGCAACACTTCGTCATTATCTGTGTCGTGTGCGTGTGCGTGTCGTGTCGTGTCGTGTCGTGTGCGGCGACGTCCATTATGATGAGTTCGTTAACGACACACGACAGGTTGGCCGAGCTTGAGAGTGGCACGCGAACCAATGAACGGAGGACTGTGACAGTATTCGATGAGCTCTGGGTCGGTGAGTCTGTCGAGCTCCTTGACCTCCGTCTGTTGCGCAGTTTCCTGCCATTGCGAACACGACAACGCGAGTGTTTAGGTCATGCTCTGGGGAGAGGGGGTTGTAGAGCACGCATGTAGAAGGAAGAAGGGTAAGGTTGTGTCTTTTTTGTACCTGAAGTCTTCGGATGTTCTGCACCTGCTGATGCAGCATGGCCAACCGGTCGACGTTGATCGACCCGTCTTCGTTGTAGTTATTGTTGCCAATATTGATGAATGTGATATCGCGCAGCGAGACAGCCAGGTACGGAATCTTTGGTCCCTGCACCTTATCGAAGCATTCTCTGTACATGGGCCATGTAGGAGATGAGCGTGTCGGCAGCGTAAGGTGGTGTGTGCGTGTGTGCGTGTGTGCGTGCGCGTGCATGCGACACTAACCTGTACGTCCAGAAGTTCTGCTGGGGCTGCATGATTTGTTCCAGTTTCTGTAGTTTCTTCAGGTGTCGCTCCGGCATCAATAGCCACGTCTGCCTCAAACGCTGTACGGCGCTGTGCAAAAGCAGAGAAGAACCGTCAGCAATGCATCAGCCAACGCCACTTCATGCAGTGATTGTGTGAATGGCATACCTATTGTGGAGCGCTGATGTGATTTCGGCAACACCGTTGTAGTTGTGAAGCTTGAACAAGTCCAGCGCCAGCCGAATGAACTTGCTAATGATGAGCGCCTGCTTCTCGATGCTGGACTGCGTGAGGATGCACGTCGCCACCCAGTAGCTCACCTGGTGTCGCAAATTGCAGCGCAGGGTGATACGTTTACAACGTTGTGAGTGAATTCATTCCTGTTGTTGTTGTTGTTGTTGTTGTTGTTGTTGTTGTTGTTGTTGTGCTGCTGCGTGGTACCTGGTTGAATCGTTCGATGATCCTGGTCAGGTTGGGCGACAACAGGATCTTGTCCTCGCGCTGCCAGGCCTGGTCCAGGAACTCGCGCGCTGTGATCATCTTTTGTCAACCACGAAAGCTGGTCAGCAAAAGACCAACCACCCAGAGGTCGTACAATAATTGACACTCCTACTCGCCTGCACAGACAACTACTGACTCTACCTGAAACAAGCGTGCTTCGGTTCGTGTAAGCTCGACGGCAATGCTCATCTGGTCCTTGACCGCAAACAGTTTGTTGGCCTACCACGAGGTGGTCGTGTTAGTTGATGTGACGTCACGTCGCGCAGAGGGCGGCCCGGCAGCGTGGTAGGTGTGATGTACCATGTCGGCGAGGTGGGCAAACTCTTCGACTCGGTTGAGCGTGAGGCCCTTGGGCGCCGGCACGGGCGGGGTGGCCTTGATCCGCGCGAGGCGGTGGTTGGCCTGGACGAAGAGCAGCTTGAACTCGTTGTTCCTGGCGTCGCCGAGGCCCGGCATGGCGCCCAACACGGCCACGCGATCGCGGCGGCGCAGGTCGCCGAAGAAGTGCCGAGCCCAGAGGCGCATGAAACTGGCCAGCGCCGCCGAGCCGTTCTCTCCGCCAGTGCCCTCTTGCACAGTACCGAGAGTCAAGGAGATCACTCTCACCAATCGATTGGCAAAATAAAGTGAAAAAGTAAATGAACAAGATGGAGATACATATCAAAAGCTAAAGATCCAGTAAAGAAACAAACAAAACAAAAATGGATGGAAGGATATTGTTTGATCCACCGTTCGGTGAGGACGCGTGTCGGGTGATTTCGCAGGAGATGCTTGTGAGAAAGGAGGAAGGCCATGGCCACCTCCTCATCCCCGCTCAGCAGGGCACGATCCGCAAGCAGCTCGAACGCCTCTCGCTTCGTCGTTTTACCCTTTGCCGCCATCTCCAATCTCGCCAATTATCAAATCCGGCTCTATGCAGTGACTAACGAAGAGGGTGATCGAGGAGCACGCAGAAGCAGTTGGCGCAGACAGATGGAAGCTGAGTGAGAAAACACAGCGCGGTCTGCAGGAGACACCGCAACTCCCAGTTCCCCCTCTTCCGGAATTTAAAAACTGCGTTCACCGCGATCGTGTCTTGGCAACGATTACTGGGTACGCCGTTACGTACGTGTGCTTGTGGTGCGGTCGACGGGGAAAACAGGTTCTGTGTTGAACTTTTGAATTTGAAATCGAACTGATGTATCTACCCTACCATAGCCTTGTGGCGCAGATCAGTCAAGAACTGCAGGGAGAGGTGGCAGCATCAACCACGGCTTGGAGTGATTCACAAGATGGAGTCCAGATTCCAGGATTTAAGGTGGAGTCGGTTGGGCAGTTTTTCTTTTCCTTTCTTCAAAAAAGGAACGGACGGTTTGGGCTTAGCGCAGACGCACACGCAGCCACCACCACGAGCAAGAGCTCCTAAGAAGAGAAGAGAAGGCTGCCAGTTCCTTCCCAAGCCATGGACCCGAGGTAAGCACGTGTCCTGCTCCCTCTTCGCCTTCGTTGCCCCCAGCCTAGTATTTTTATTGCCCTACTCTTCTTCTCTTCTTCAGCCTCTGCTTCTTCGGCTTGCTCTCTACTCTCCCAATTCGAGTAGCAGACGAGCAGTTACTTGATTCGAAAGATGTGTTGTGAGGTTGTGAAGGGATTCGGTCTAACCTCCATCTCTGGCTGGACAGCAGCTATGAAACGACGATGATGATGAACGTAGCACAGGCTCAGGGAAACATGCACTCACACCACGGGCAACACCAAGGCCACCACATTACGTTGGAGACCCTCCACATCAACCCCGCCGCGTTGCTGTATTCGCCTACCGGCGGAATGATGCGTGTCTCGTCGGGGGCGCTTGCGCCGAGCATGCTCCTCCCTGCACAGGCCGGTGCCATGCCGCCGCATAGCCCCACGGGAACATCGATGCCCCTCATATCCTCGCAGCTCGAGGGCAAGAGCCACAAGCACAGCCTTTCATTCGATGACACCGACAGCCTGTCGGACAACGAAGGAAACAGTGACAGTGGCGAGGGTCCAAGGAAGCGAGGGTACCGCTCCCCTCTTGTTGCCTTCCAACCGTTCGCTGCTGATGATGTGTTGCGTGGTGTGTAGGAGGGTGGAAACAGTTGAACGCAAGACGAAGAAGTGCGCGATGGAGCGTAAGCGGAGGAAGGACCTGAACGAGGGCTTCCACGGGCTGAGGCAGGCGCTGCCGCTGACCATCTCGCGACCCAGCAAGACCACCCTGCTGCACTACGCCGTGGACTACATCAAGCAGCTCGAAGCCGAGGTGTCCCACCTGCGCGACGAGAACCGTGCCCTGCGCAAGGCCATGACCGGTTAGCGAGCTCTCTTCGCCCGCGCGGTACCAAGACCACCCCCACCACACCGCATCTGTACAGAAGCGTAAGTTGTAGAGTAACAGCTTCGTTTAAAGCTTGACCTAAGCGCAATCATCAAGGCGCGAGACTTGACGACGAGATGGAACAGAATTGGTGAAGGAAAGTTGAAGTCGGTAATCATCAGCAGGCGGCGGTGTGGCGGGCGTTGGTGATCCCATGGATGGCCAGGCGAAGGCCCTGCGTGGTGGGTCCCGGCTGAATCCAGAGCTCGCGCTTGGCCGCGTCGAAGAACCACCCAGAGGCCGTTCTCTCGTAACGCTGCGAACAAAGGTTACCACACTGAGCCACTCGTGCGCGTGCGGCGGTGCATGCGCGTGCGTGTGTGCGGTGATGCGTGCGGTGGTACGGTACCTGGTCGATGGAGGCCAGCTCGGGCAGAAGCGTGGGGCCGTCATCGAGGCTGGTGACGGCGACGGCCTTGAAGAGGCCGCGGGCGGCGGGCAGCTCCACGCCGCGGAAGAGGAACACCAGCGGGCGCGCGTGGGCGGTGGCCTCGAGCTCGAGCGCGGCCTGATCCGCGTCGTAGGTGTAGGCGAACTCCTGGCTCTGGCCCTGGTACTGCCTCACGCTCTGCGTCTCCGCCTCCCCGAGGTACGATACCAGCAAGGTCAAGAAGTCCGCGGCACGCTTGTCGCCGTTGCCTGCAACGCAGCCAAGCAAGTTGAGACGTCGTGTCGTTGGTGTGTGCGTGTGCGTGTGCGTGTGCGTGTGCGTGTGCGTGTGTGTGCGATGAATGATGTACCGGTGATGGAGTCGAACACGTGAAGAGGGATGATGGAGCCCTTCCTCTTGAACACGGGGAACCTCTCAAGAGGAACAGAATAGGCCTGATTTGTTTTGATGATGATCACATGATGAAGGTGATGGTGAAGAAGATGAAGAAGAAGAAGAAGAAGCAAAGGTGTGAGGGGGGTGTGAGCGATTGAGAGACAGAATAAAAGGGTAAAGGGGGGCACCGAGAGGGTCGAGCCGCCCTTGTAGACGCAGGAGGGCTGCCACCAATCGACCCAGTCGTCGTTGGCCGGGAACGAAACGGCCCTGGACGTCGAATTGTCCACCATCGGCACCACCAGGATGTCCTTCCACAGAAGATACTCCCACGAATCTGAACACCAAGGTGCGGTGTGTGCGGTTTGTGCGGCGTGTGCCGTGTGTGCCGTGTGTGTGGTGTGTGTCGTGTGTGTGTGTGTGTGGAATGTGCGTGCCGTGTGCGGTGGTGAGTGAGGCACCTCACGCAACATTCGCAGTCCAATGAACCACCGTACCGGGTGTGAAGATGGTCTCGCTCGCAAGAGGCTTGATCACCGAGACGCCTTGCTCGTAGGCCGTCGAGCCAGCGTTCAAGAAATAGGGAAGCAGCTGCGTGGTGGACGCCCCCGCCCCAAGCACGAAACCAGGGCTTGTTGTGAGACATTGTGGGCCTAGAAAGGTGAGGCTGGCCGCATACCTCGGTGTGAATGTGGACGAAGGCGCGGTAGATGTCGACCGTCTGGTTGGTGTTGTCGAACATCCACGGCCGATGCTGGTTGTCGCCTCCGTTCTCCATCAGGGGAGTGAACGCGCCCATTTGTGCCCACCTTCATTCATTCATTCATTCATTCATTCAAGGCACCACCCACGACGCAGTGAGCGAGTGGTGAGCTAAGGGTGAGGTGCTGATGAGGCATAGACGAGTGCAGGTGACATACCGCAGGAACAGTTCCTTGGTCCTTCCGAACGGAGGAGGTCCGTGAGCTCTGAAACCACCTGTCACACACACACACACACACACACACACACACACACACCGCATGAACGCACGCGCGCACGCAACGCACGAGCTCATCAGACAGCTGTTCAATAATGGCGGGAATGAACGAATGGCCATCGGTACCGATATCGCTGCCAAAGTTGACGTAGTTGCGCCAGGCCGAGTGGAAAATGTTCATGAGCGCGTTCTTGAGACCGTCGAACGTCGGGTCCTGGTCGCCCACCCAACCGGAGAAGACCACATCGCGCGGCGAGAACGAGCGGTAGATGTCGCCCCAGCTGCATGCATGCAGTGTCATGTGTCGCGTCAATCTTAGCTGGCGTGTGCGAGTGCGTGGTGGGTTGTACCTGTCGACGGGCCTGGACATGATGAGCGCTTGCGGGTTCTTGCTTCGGGAGTAGTAGAAGAAGTCCCTGTTTTCGCGAAGGGATAGAGTGTAAGAGAGTGGAGCCAACGCGAGTCCCTGTCGCCCATGCACAGCTACCAGGGGTGCGTCGTACCTGTAGTAGAGATCCGAGTACTCACGGGGCGTAACGATGCCCTTGTGGCCCCACGCCACGATGAGCTCGTACAGGTAAGGATCTGGTAGGTAACACAGATAGAGTCAGTGAGCGTTACAACTGGTGAGTCGATCACAGGCCACAACACAAACTAGACACCAACCTGTGCCGTCGCATTTCCTATGAAGGGCGAAAGATGTGTATCACACACACACACACACACACACACACACACACACACACACACACAACACACACACGAGTGAGCATGGGCCTGGATGTAATTTGTTTAGTGAATATGGCCGTGTACATACCATCCGTCGACGCCGATGTCGAGCACCAGGTCCATCTGCTTGTGCCACCATGCCACCGCCTCTGCATTCATGCGCATAGGTAGAGGAGTCAGCACAGGTTATTAATGAATGTCTCGCGAGCAATGGGAGGCCGCGGCGTACCGGGATTGGTGTAATCAAGGAACGAGCCCACTCCGTGCCACCACTTGACCTCATTGGTCCACAGTCCCTGCATTGCACAATGTTTTTGTGGTGGAAACATGCGTCAGCCAGTCACTCGAGATTGAAAAAGAGAAAAGTGGAAACCTTCAGAATGTAGTCTTTGGCAATGGCCTCGGCGTGGTTGGACGAGTCGGTGTCGATCATCGACGTGGCCCACAGGATAACGCGGACCTACACATCAGCGAACGACAAAGAGCACAGTTGTGTGAGAGTGTGCTCGCGAACGCTGCGTACAGTACAGAGGAAGAGGGAAAGTACCCCAAGCTTGTGGAAGTGGTCGATCATTTGGCTGGCGTTGGGGTACTTGGCGGTATTGAAGATGACTAGCACACCGCACACGACACACAGCGACCACACAATGACCCACGCACACGCCGCTGTCAGCCTGTGTGCCACCGAGCTTAGCATAATGGTTTTTTCTAGTTCCGTACAATTGTTGTCTGCAGTCGCCCACTGGCTGTCAAGGTCCACCGCGCCGACCTGGACGAGACGAGTGCAATTCATTACATAGCACGCGGTATAAAACTATCTCCATACACACATACACTCATCTCTACGAAATATAGAACGAAAATGCCACAAAAGGCATTTAAAAGGGGTGACAAGGGGTACGGGGATGTTGCGCTTGAGGAAACCCTCGACAAACTCAGTCTCAGAGGTCTGGTTGGCCACTTCGCTGGCCAGCCACACCCAGTGCGAGTGCGCCCATTCTGCAGCCCCGCCATTGCGTGAGTGGGCCATCTAAAGAGCGAAGAGCGAAGAGCGAAGAAAGAAGAGGGGGGGGACACCTGGGTAGAGAGCGGAAGCAAGTCGAGAGGCCGGCACGACTGCGGGCGCAGCCTGGTGGTGGTCAAAGTCGGCAAGCACCACCACTGCGCACAGCACCGCGAGCACTGTGGCCCTCAGGTACATCATCTTTTGGAATGACAGCTTCTTTCTGGCCCCGACAATGCCTGCTTGGCATTTCAAACGGGTTTTATCATTGAAATCCGGTTGGCGGAATTGCTGGCAAGAGAGAAAAGAAAGAGATAAGTTGAAGTGGGCGAAAAAAAGCCAGATCCTTTCAGAAGAAGTACACGCTTATAAGGAAAGATTCTGAAACGAGTGTGAGGTTGGGGCTGAACTCCAACAGCTGTTAGCCACGGCGGTGGTGGTGATGGGCAACGTGAATGTGACTGACACTAGCCACAAGCACTGAATCACGCTGTTAAATTACTGATAGTCAAAACTGCGCCACTACCCTACGCAGCCTGCGCGACCCGTACAGGACTACGCCGCGAAGAACAACCCGTACAAGAAGCTCCGGGTGTATACACCGGCACATTGACGGCGGCAAGTTCTGCGTGTCGGGCCGCCCGATCACAATCTCTTCGAGGAAATATTTGGCCGCACATAATAAAAGGAAAGGCCGAAAGGGGCCAACAAGATAACTCACTTGAGTACACGGGCCTGCACTTGCGCCAAAAACCTGAGACATGAAGCGAGCCAGGGAACAAAACGTCGAGGCAGCAGGACAACAAGGAGGAGAGACGGCGAGCGTTGTGCTGCCGGCCCACCGCCACGACGACGATACAACAACAGCGTCGCCGAACAGAAAGAAGCCACGCCTTGGTGGATGGGTGGATGACGACGACAAGGAAGGAGGCCTCGAGTGGAACCTGCTGCGCGACCTGCCCTACGTCGCCTTCCGCCGTCTCCTCGACTTCCTCTCCTCCGCCACCGCCAATGCCGGTACCACCCCCATTTCTTTATTTATTAGGTTCTATTTATTTACGCTTTGTTTATATGTTTATGTGTTTATGTGTTTATTTGTTTATTTGTTTATTCAGAGGGCTCGTTGAAGGCAGTTTTGCCTGGGGTGCCGGAGCTGTGCCGCGTGCGCGCCGAGAGTGGACGGTTCGCTGGTGAGCTCGAGTGGGGCGACGAAGTGGCCCCGGGCGAAGAGGAGGCCTTCGAGCTGCAGATGGAGGCCCAGGAAAAGCAGCTGCGCTCCCTGCGGCCCTAGTACGTAACTCCCTCGCGTGTGGTGTGTGTCGTGTCTGACGAACGCCGATCGCACACGCGCATGCAGTCACACTCCGCCGAGGCACGCCCAGCACCACGATTCGATCGGCAGCGTGGCTGCGCTGCGACTCACCTGCCACGCCATCAAGAACGCCGTCGACCACGCCCTCGGCGCCAGCGCGCAAGGCTCCGCCCTCTACGTGCCACTTGATCAGTTCCTCGTCGACCACTTCTTCCCGGCCGCCGCCACCGCGGCCTCGAGCGCCGGATCAGACAAAGCGGTGCCGCCGCCGCTGCTGCCGCTGTTGTCCAACTCAGCCGAGGCGGCGCGCACCAAGGACCGGTTCCGGAAGATGGCTGACCTGACCCTGGGCGTGGCCCAGGCTCGCCTCCACCAGTCGCAGTGCGTGCCCCCCTCCATCGTTGTTGTGTGGCCTCGGACGACACACGGCTGACGTCACGAGCCTTGGTGGTACGCGTGTGGTGGTGCGTGTGCTACGCAGGCTGGACGAGGTGCTGGAGTACGTGTGGCGCACGTGGGAGTTCGCACCTGCCAAGCTCGAGGCCCTCCGCCAGCAGCTCCTCGCGCCCCGCGCCACCGTCGCCGGTGACCAAGCTCAGGCGGCGCTGCTCAAGGTGGAGTACCTGCGGCGGGAGGACGACTACCTGGGCCAGTCCTACGGGCTGGGCATCTGCGCCTGCCTGTCCCTCGGCCTGCCCGACATGCCCCACGGTGAATTGATTGACTACCCCCAACCCTCGCCTCCCCTCCCGCCCCATTCATCAGCTGACCCTTTTTCGCTTTCGCTTTCGTGTTTTGGGGGATTCAGAGCGAGCGGAGGTGGGGCTGTGGGTGCTCCAGGCGTGGGACCACCGGGACGAGGGCTGGGACCTGCAGGTGGTCGTCGATCTACGCACCTCCTCGGCCAGCTGGAAGCAGCTCCTCGAGTCTTCCGGCCAAGACCAACAAGACGAAACGAGGATGAACAGGAGAAAGAGGAGGAGGAGGAGGAGGAAAGGGGCGAAGATGACGAGGCATCTGCTCCGCTGCACGTGGTGGTCTTCGACTACTACCGCTCGCGTGGCAACATCATGGACCAGACCACCGCCAACTTCACCCTCCTACGCAAGTTGTGGCGGTGCGTGGGACTCGGCGGCGGCGGCGATGACGACGGCAGCGACCAGGACCTATCGTGGAAGGGGAAGGAGGTGCTGACCACGCTCCTGGCCTGCCTGGGCTTCGCGTGGCACGACGACGTCGATCTGCTGTGGGACGACTGCGACGACGAAGATGCCGACACAGTCAACGAGCATGTCGCTGGCATCGGTCGGGGCAGGGGCCGGAGCCGTGGCGGCCGGCGGCGCGTGACTGAGGTCCAGAACACCATGCTGCTCGAGACGAGCCGGGTCAAGCACAAGGAGCTGCTGCAGGGGCTGGCGCCCTATGTCGCCCAACTCAACGCCTTTCTCGACGCCCGCCAACAGTCCGCCGCCACCGAGGTACCTAGGCCCACCAAGTCGCCCGGCATTCGTGGCCATCGTGTGCGGTGATGCGTGTCATGCGGCTCACGTTCGGATGACGTCGTCATCATCACCATCATCGTTCAGGTCAAGACGCGAGAGCAGGTGGTGAGGCGTGTGCGACGGTTCATCGGCCAGCAGAGGCTCGCGCGCACGGAGTCCTACATCCGGCAGCGCCTCCAAGGCGGCGCCCCCTGGCCTTCGTCCTCCGAATGCCCCGAGTTTGCTCTCGCCCACGTCGAAGGCCATGAGGTCAGTACTCTCCCTCCCCTGTAGCCCTGTGACGTCAGCAGCCTTCTTACACTTGCTCACATATCTATTTAAGGTGGCGAACGAGCTGCGGGTGGTCTACGCCCGCACGTTGGACCTCGAGCCGGGCGAGTACTCCTCCTTCTCCGATCGCACAGTCGAGCTCGCCTTTCCGGTCTCGGCCGATGCGCTGCGCCGCGTTGAACTTGCCGGCGACGGCGATGGCGGCGACGATGACCACCATCGCGCGGGGCCGCTGCCGCTGGAGGTGGTGTTCCGAGTGTCAACAAAGTCGGCCAACTGCTACACCGGCCCGCACGCGCAGTCGATGGTGACGGCGCGCGTGGTGGGACACCACCCGCGGCTGAGCGCCGCCCTTGCTGCCAAGGCAGTGGCGGTGGCCAACACGGCCTTGGGCCTCGGGGGGACATGGCAAGCCGATGCATCCCGACGACGCCATGGCCGAGGAGGAGGACGGTCAGGAGGCGACAGAAGGAGTTGAAGAAGGGGAGGAGGACGAGGACACGATCGTGCTGAAGCTCGATCGCACCATCTCAGACATGGGCCGCAACGAGAAGGTCATGGCCACGGAGGCCATCGAGCTCGTCGGCCGCCTGCTCGGCCTCGCCCTCCGGCCCACTTCGGGCGATGCGCCGCAACCCACCGCCGACGCCGACGGCACCGGTGGACCGAGGCCGGGGTTGTTCCGAGGCCACAACCCCGACCCGGCCATGGAGACCACTCCGTTCGCGAGGGCCGTGCTGGCGTTCCTGGACGAGGCGGCGCGGGTGGCGACGTGGGACGCCGAGGAGGGCACCTTCCCCGTGCAGTCCACCCTGCGCCAGAAGTGGGACGAAGGGGAAGCCAACGGGGACGACGACGATGATGCGGGAGCCGAGGATGGCACGAAAACAGCGGAGCAGCTCAAGAGCCAGCTGACCCGAGAGATCGGAGACCTGTGCGCAATGGACCGGGTAGCGCTCTGGTGACCAATTTTGTACTTATTTGTTTGTTTTTTTGCTTCAAACATTGCGCCCTTCAAAACCCTGGACACTACGGCGTGGGTGTCAAACATTGTGGTGCAGCACACGCTTGAGGAGCCCCTCCCCTTTCCTCCATCAAAAGTGTAACAGTCCGCTAACATGAGATTCTCAGTGATCATCCACACTGACGCTTGCAAGGCCATGATTCAGGCGGTCACAGGGCAGTACCTGGAACCGCGCACCTTCTCGGACAAGGACGACATCTACAGCTACGAGTGCGAAAGGGAGGCCAGGGAATCCTACATCCAGCGCAAAACCGACGTCGCGGTTTTCGAGACGGGCGTGGAACTCGGTGTAAAGACCTACATCGTCATGCCCCCGTCAATCTTCGGCATCGGCAGGGGACTGTTCAACAAACTGTCCATCCAGGCGCCCACAATCCTCCGTTCGGCCATAAAGGCCGGCCAGGCGGAGGTCATTGGAGATGGAAAGGCCCAGTGGGATCACGTTCACATCGCTGACTTGGTGCTGCTCTATGAGCTCATCTTGTCCAAGCTGCTCAAGCTGGCGCACGGCAAGCAGGGCATCTTCTTTGCCGAGACCGGCCATCACACGTAGCTGGAGCTTTCTCAAGGTGTGGCAGCAGCTGGCTACGAGCTCGTCGGGGCTCTGAAGACAGATAAGGTGAAGAGCGTGACCGTCAAGGATCCCTCCATCGTGGAGCTCGCCTATGCATCAAAGTACGACCAACCCGCCTTCATCTTGGCTCTCATCTCTCGCTTCAGAACTTGCACCTAACTTTCTTGGACATACGTGTATGTTACTTAGCTCGCGCACCAGGAGCGACAGGAGTCGCCCTTTTTCCCTTGGAGGGCGCACAGGAGGAAGCCCCGGGCGTCCCAGTGAGGGCGCGACGTGGGCTGCTTGAGGAGCCACTTCAACGACCGCCGCACCTTTTTCGCTGCGACCGCACCGAAATGCACGGCACATTTGCGGGTGAGCGCAACACACGCAACACACGCAACACGGCAAGTGGCCAGAAGTACGTTTGAGAGGAGCGGCAATGAAGATGACGGGTCCAGCGTAGTAGGGGCACCAGTGCAGAGGCACAGTGAACTTCGGAACCTGCACCACCAACCGGTAAATCAATCAATCAATCAATCAGCTGAGCACGAATCGGACTTCGATCGAAGCGAGCCAAAAAGCGTGCGTGCGCGGTTGGCTCCAGCACCTTGAGCCGCCCCAGGGTGTTCTGCACGTGGTCGGGGTCGGTGGCGTTGATGAGGAACAGCACGACGGCCAGGCCCTTTTCAAATCGGCCCTTGCCCTCGCCCAGCATGCCGTGCAACTCGCGGTAGGCCTGTCCACCCGCACCGAGCACCAGCGCCCCAGTCAATTTGCGCATGCGTGTCGTGCGTGTGCGTGCGGTGCGGTGCGTGTGCGTGTGCAATTGATTGCTTGGGGGTGTAGGTACGCGCTCGGCGTGGTCTTCGCTGTCGCTCATCTTCTGGGCGTCGACCACGTACACGATCTTAACGTCCGGCGAGAGGGTGGTGCGCAGGCCTCGGAAGAACGGGTTCCCTTCACAGTACCAGTTCCTTGTGTGTCGTGTGGGTGTCGTGTGGGTCGTGTGTCAGCAGTAATAGAGTATGCAGCTCGGCACAGCACCAACGCGAATGTCGCAGGCTTACCTGGGCTTGCGAATGACGCTGATGTTGGTGGTTGTCGTCTGGCCGTTACAAGAGTAGTAGATGTTGTGGTAGCCCTCGACACGCAGCACCCTGCACTCGCCTTGCATTTGGCCCCACACACATGCGCGCGTGGTGGTGGTGGTCACGTGGTTGAGACGCGGTAAACATGCCTTCAGGCATGCGTGGTGTTGGTACCTCCAGGGCTCAGCATGTCAAATGCAGGACCCAAGGGCGGTTTACTGTCCTCTTTCCCGTTGGTGGGCTCGTCGCCCAAACCTGCGATCCATCACGACACGACACACACGACACACACGACACACGCATTCCTCGGATGCTCGTTATTGTGGGAGACGAAGCGGCTGCCGAGGTCAGTGGAACACGGTACCCAGGCCAAGCTCGAGCTTCATAATGTCGGCGAGGGCCGACAGGGTGGCGAAGGGCACCAGACCAGCCACGATGATCCCCTCGTCGGCCGGTCGGGTCCACTCCGTCACCATCTCGTGCATGCTGCGCACGTTCGAGTTTCAACCCTCAGACCGCACACACACGACACGCACGACACGCACGACACAGGACACACGCCATACCGGCGATAGGCAAGCTTCCACCCGCCGTAGCCTTCGGAGGGTGCGGCGTGCTGCTTGACAAACTCGAGCAGCGGAGGCACAAAGCCGTCGGCGTCGTCCTCGCACGCCTCTGTGCTGCTGCTGCTGGCGGGCTTGGGCGTGCGCGCGGCAAAGAGCGCGTAGAGCTCGCTCACGCGGTGCTGGAGCCACTCGTTGCGCGCGTCGGGCGCCACGGCGTCGGGCAGGTAGGGGTGCAGCCCGGCCGCTTCGCCCCAGAAGTCGGACCCAAAGCGGCGCAGGAAGAGCGAGCACCACGCCACGTCGCTCGCCGCCTCCCGCTCAAGCGCCCTGCACGTTTGCCCCACCTATAATAACGCAGTGATAAATAATAAACACATAATTGTACAAACAATATCATAAATAAATCATAAAATAGTATCATAAATAAATCATACATAATATTATCTATAAATTGATTGAGTTGTTCTTTGGTATTGGCATACACGGGTGAGGTCAGGGGGCGAGAGGTGGGCCAGCACGCAGGCGACCACGTTCGTGTCCAGCCCCACAAGCAACGTCTCATCTTCGTTCTCCATCTTGGAGCAGGGCTCGGGGTGATAGCGGAGAAAGAAAAAGAATTTCATGTTCTTCAGTGAAGCTGCCCAGCTCCGTGGCCAACGTGCACGGTGCTAGCGGCACTGGCACATGTTGGGTGGGATGCCGGCCCAGGGACAGTCGCGGTGCGGGTCGATCTCGCCGAACAGGCTCTTGGCGGTCATGAAGATCGGCAGCTTGTTCTGCCACTCCGGTCGGTCGACCGCCTCGCCCAGCAGGATGTGCCTGTGGTGATGAACATCATGAACAATCAACGATCAGCACGAACGAGGTCGGCCGTACGACACATCATCACCAGAACCATCACCATCACCACCAGCGCCACCATGACGGAGAAGAGCACGAACCGAAGAGTGGCGTGGAAGTCGAAGCTGGTGACGAGCCTCTGCTGGTTGGCCAGCAGGTTGCGTTCGAGGTGCGGGTACTGCCGGAGGACCCAGTTGGGCGCGATCATGTGCAGCAGCGGGAGCGCGTTCTCTCGGACGGCGCTCTCGGCGTGCAGGGTCCACCAGAGCGACATGTGGTGGCCGTGGTCGGAGACCAGGAACACTACGGTCGAGTTGTAGTCGATGAGGTCGGCGTCGCGCAGGAACGAGGCCAGATCCGTGTCGACCAGGTTGATCACCTCGCCGGTCCCCTCGTGGCCCTCGATGAACGCGGCGATGCCGAAGCGGGGCACGTCGGCGTAGCTCCGCCAGAACTTGGCGAAGTAGTCCAGCACCCACTGGTGGACGTGCTTTCCGTACATGCACCGGGCCTTGAGTGCAAACGGGCCCACCCAGTTGCCTGCGATCGCCCACCACAAGCCCAGCACCAATGGGGTCAGCACACGAGAGGCCTCGGGCCGCCTTGGGTTGGGGGGGCGTGGGCGTACCGTGCGGATCGCCGACGGGGAGGTACTCGGGTAGACAGAACGGCGAAAGGAACTGGTGATCCCACGTTGTGTTGGTGTTGGCCAGCCGCGCCACCTTGTCCTCGCACTGGACCCGGTGAGATGTGACTTTATTGCGTCGTGCGTCGTGTGGGTGTGGGCCACCACGGCGAGAGAAAGACGAGTGCTGGCGTACCTCGTTGTCGGAGAGACCTGTGACATAGCCGTTGTCTCGGAAGTGATCCCATATGGCCCGGTACGATGTCTGCAGCAGATCTTTGACGACATGTCCCATGTACATGGCTGCAACGCACGACAGTGGCAGTTGTCAGCCTCGATGACGGTGGTGGAGAGTGTAAGAGAAGCCAGCCACACACACATACCACGCATGTTCAACTTGGTGATGGAGCCGATGGCGTGGTAGTTGAAGAACTGGAACACGGAGGAGACGTTGTTGTGCCACTTGCCCGCATAGATCTCCTCCAGGAAGGACACGGTCTCGGGCATCTTCCGGTGCAATTGGCGGCGCGACACGGCGTCCAGATAGACTACCATCACGTTCAACTTCTCTGTTGTGCGTCACGCAAAAAACGTGGTCAGTGTTTGGCTCACTCACAATCAACGACACCACACGACGATCAACGACCAACGACACGTACTGGGAAAGGTCTGGGCTTCTGGAACGAGGTCAGACGCCTGCGCCTGCTCGCTGCTGTGCTTGCATACGCGCTCGACCGCTGTTTCATTCCTCACATTCCGGAAGATGAGGTTCGACTCGCGGCCGCAGCTCACCAGGAGGGCCTCGGCGGCAAAGTCGAGTCGGCTGCGCAGGACGTCCAGCTCTCCGGCGTCCATGCCCGCCAACGTAGTCGCCATCGCCTCTGCCGCCGCACCGTTGTTGCTGCTGTCGCTGCTGTCGCGCAGGCGTTCGAGGTGGTGCAGGTTGACCGGGTGGCCCGGGTAGGTGAAGTTGAGCACGTTGCCCAGCATCCACCGCTGGAGGGCGATCTCGCCGATGCCCTTCTCGAGCCAGCTTAGCGCCTCCATGCGCGGCAGCAGGTACACGGTGCCCTGCGGCGCGCCGCGGAACGAGTACGGACCCGATCCAGGGCCGGCGGACGACATCAGCCGGGAGAGGAGGCCCGTTTCCGCCTTCGAACAGTCCACCGTCAGCACTTCGTTGCTTTCATCCAACCACGCGAACGTGTCCTGTCATCATGACGTGCATGATGGTGAGCGCCATGCTCTCTCTGCACAGTAGTAGTAGTAGGTGGACGCACCTGTGCGGGACAGGTCTGGGAGCCGGCCCAGAAGTTCATGAACCCGTTCGGCGGCACGTCTTCCCAGTTCCTCTCGGGCGGAGGGATACGACAGCCCATGACCGGTTCTGTGGGGGGGGGGAGTAAGGCCACGCTCGCCCGGGAACAAGATGGAAAGATGTTTGTGGGGGTACCGCCAGCGGTGGGCAGGGTAGCCTTCTCCATGCGCGAGTCGCCGAGACCGAGGGGCCACAGCGCGCGGCCGCGTTCGAAGCGGACGTGGCCGAAGAGCAGGATGGAGCAGGCCAGCCCGACCCACAACCACACGAAAGCACGTCGGCTGAGTCCACGCCAGCAGCATCTATCGATCCCGGGTTACATCATCATCTAAAAGCTTGAGTCGTGTGCAGAAGGCAGCAGGTTTGCAAAGAAATCAAAAAGAAATCAACGCAGCCGTACCGAACCGCGAGGGAGAGGACGAGGCAGGGGAGGAAGAAGATGAGGAACAGGAGTTGGTTGAAGCCTCCATGACGCTCGAGAGTGTTGCCCTGGTCGACGAGCAGGAGGCAGGTGAGCAGGATAGCCCCGTAGACCAGCACGCCCCAGCCGATGGCGCCCCGGCGGTGGCCCCGGCCGCCGGCATTCCTTCGCTGGGGAATGTCGAAGGAGGATGCAGAGAAGAAGACGAAGGAGCCAAGACAGGGGAGAAAGAGGAGGTGGGTGATGTGGATAGAGGGGAGTAGCGGCGTGCAGGAGCAGAGAATCTGGCGATGGTGTAGAGGAAGGAGAAGAGGAAGAGGAAGGAGGAGCCATCAGGCACGAAGCCAGGCGAGGCAGGTTTCGGTGGAGCTCTTCCAAGGATTCCTGTGGCTCGAGGCTCGTCCAGTACAGCAGCGCCGCCACGTCGAACCCCACCACCGCGATCAGTGCGTTCCACCACCGTTCGCAGTGCACATTGTTGCTGGTGTTGCTTGTTCCATTGCTCACACTCGACCGGCGCCGGCCATTGTTGGCGCTCAGCCATTCATTCCCCAGCATCGCTACGTGTTGTGTCTTGTTGTGTGGTTGGCTGGAATATTGGTTTGTGAGTGACTACCCGATCTCACTGTTGCCAGCAGCCCACGCTCCCGCAGTCGGGCGCATCACTCGTTTTAGAGACCGTGATGGTGGTGCATCATCTCTGGCTTGGTTGTGGTGTAGTTTTCGGCTCAGCCACTCCCGCGCCGAGCTTGGGCGAAGAGGTCGGCGTGTTCTCTGCCATCACTCGCGGTCTCTTTCGGCTGGGGCTTGCTCGAAATTTCATGTCCGCAAGCATGGAATGCAACTTTTTTGAGTTATTCACATTCCTTGCGTGAAGGCGCCAAAACACAACAATCGAAGAAGAACAGATGGCGGAGGCAGGACGGGCAGGACCACAGCGCACCGTGCGGCAGCGTGCTACACTCACTGGTTTGTTAGACTCTTCAAATAATCTTGATTTATCACTTCTTACACTCAATTCATCTCAATTCATCTCGTTTGGAATTCTTGTGCTCCTTCTTTTCAGGGCACACGCAAGCCGTGACGGCAGTCCGCTTCTCGCCGGACGCGAAGTACTTTGCCTCCGCGTGTACGCGCTGACCTCAGTTCTTATGATTGATTTTTTGTATTTTATTTAAATCGTTTTAAATATGTGGCGCCGCAGCGGGCGATAAGACGGTCAAGGTGTGGCGCCTCTCGGACGGAGCGCTAGAGATCACGCTTGGTGGGGAGAACGGTCACACTGGGGTGCGTGCACCCAGCTCGGTTTTCACTGGGGCACTGACGAGCGTGTATGCGTTCCGCTAACAACCGCCACCGCACGCCAGGGTATCTCCGACGTGGCGTGGTCGCACGACTCGGCGCTGCTCGCGTCATGTTCTGATGACCGCACCACGAAAGTGTGGGACCGCGCCACGGTACAATGACCTGAACATGTCATGTTGATTTGCGGCCGTCGTACGGCCCGTTGTGATCACGTACCGACAATCTTGTTTCATCTTCGTCCCCAGGGCACGCTGAAGCACAACCTCTCGGGCCACTCCAACTTTGTGGTGTCAGTGGACTTCCACCCGAAGACCTACGAACTGGCGTCCGGTTCCTACGACACCAAGCTTTTCTTGTGGGACGTTGCTGGCGAAAAGGGTAAGATCGATACTATTCCACACGACGCGACACACGCATGAGAGAAGGTTGGCGAGAGCCTGGCTAAGGTGATTATGTTGCACTCATCTTGTGATGCTACTAGGCCGGTTGCGCAAAATCATGGTGAAACACACGGCACCTGTGGCGACCGTCCGATATAGCAAAGACGGCAAGTATCTTCTCTCCACATCGTACGACGGGTCATGGTACGTTGCCGATCATTCGTCTGTTGGTTCAGAAGCTGCACCGACTTACCCTTATGGACGATCACAGCCAAGTGTGGAATGCAGTCTCGGGCGACCTCGTCAAGACGATCTCGCAAAGCCTCGTGCCGATGTACACCTTTCCTCCGCCCTCTGCTGCCCATGTTTGATTGCAAACTGATGTTGATTGCCAACAGTACATGCGGCTCGTGGAGCGGTATCGGCAGCAAATGGGCGCTCACCAACAGTCTTAACTCGACGATTCAATTATGGGCACTTGAGCTGGAAGATGATGCCAAACCTGCGCGCTGCGTCAGGTATGCCTATCGGCCGTTGACCTAGCCTAGTGATGTGACTCTCATTTATGATTCCAAACGTGCAGAACGTACAAAGCGCACAGGAACGCCAAGTACGCGCTCTTTTCCATCGCGTTGCCCGGAGCCAAGATGGTGGTGAGCGTCTCCGAAGATGGCTGGCTCTACTGCTGGGATCTTCAGTCCTCCACTCTCCTGCACAAAGTCAAAGCTCACGATGGTACGTGCAGCTACCTTGTTCCAGAGCGGCGTTACTACAAGAAGGTCGCTGATCACCTTCCAAACAACCAGGCGTTGCGTTGGGTATGGACGCTCAGGGCACCACATTGATCACATCAGGTCTTACAGACAATAGCATCAAGATCTGGTACTCTTTCTGCTTCTCCCGCGCGCATGCCTGCAACTCTCAGTTCGACCTTACGGAGTCTCACCCAACGCAGGGATCTGGTCACCACGCCCGCCAGCTGATGTATGTCGATCTATCGGTCTACATAAAATTCATGTTGCCCTTCTGAGCCCAAGAGCCCAACATTAACCGTACACCGTAATGGTTCCTCGGTGCAACGGGGCAGGATTGTGAAATATGCCCAGTGTTTTCGCGCAATCGCGTTTTGCATTCCTCAATATCTGTCTGTAACTAGGCGTACTTTTGCCACTTCTTTTCGCCCGCGTGTCCGAGGAATCTATTCTATTCTTCTTGGCTGAGACATCCGGACGAGACAATCATCTTCCCCATCTTCCTCATCCACGAACCCTGACTTCCCCACGTCATGGGTACTTGAAGCTTCTATTTTGGGCGGCCTTTCTTCTGTCGTCTTTTCTAAAAGATGCATCTTCTCTAGACATTCACATTCGTTTCATTCGTTAACGAATTATTCCTCCCTCCCCCCAGCATCCCTTGCTGAATTACGTAGTTACGGCGGTGGCGCAGCCCATCCTGGCCATCTCTCGTACGAGAACCAGTATGCGACTTCGTTCAACGGCTTCGACCCCATGGCCGCTTCCCATATGCTGCCCCCGAGCGGCAATCAGCTCGACTTCCTCTTCTACGCCGATCAGCTGCTGAACACCTTCGCCACGACGAAGAACAGCAACGGCGACGTGGTGCTGAGTGGCAAGACTCGCGACCTGATGGAATTCCTCCCTAATGACACGGAGAGCCTTCCTGGCGTTCCAGCTTCGTTCCCCCATTCCGACTTCCTGCCTCCTGCTCATTCCCTCCCATTCAGCGCTTCCCAATTCATGTCCAACTACGGCCATTCGGACGCCCAATCAGAGGACATGTGGGGTCTCTCCTCGGCCCACCACCCCTCCAAGACCTCCCAGCACACTTCGTCGCAGCTCCCTTACCAGGGCTACTCGAGTACTCAGCATCGCCACCAGCTGCCCGCGATCGTCAAGCAGCAGGAGTGGAGGCTGTGCGTCAAGGCGCCTACTCTGGGAACCTTCTACCTCTTCACCGATCCTGAGAAGACGGTGGCCGAGATGATTCCCGACATCGAGTCCAAGATCCTGGAGCTCTACCATGTCTTCGTCAGCGTTCACCTGCTCCAGAACGACCACGGCATCGACCTTCCGTTCTCCTGCACCATCTCGTCGGTTCTCGAGGATCGCGCCCTCATCTGCGTTCAGTACATGCGCGCCGCCGACGCTACGGCTGGATCAACGCTTGGTGGTTGTCATCAGCAGCAGCAAAACTACCACCAGCACTCGCTCTCCAGCCACTCGGCGACCGAGGAGGCCTCTCCCTCGGCCAGGTCGCCTCACAGCAGCCCGCACTCGTCCCACACCCACTCGCCCGCCTCGGTCGCTTCCCCTTGCTCGCCCGCGTCTTCCGCCCAGTCCGCCCCGCACTCGCCCTTCCTTCGTACGTTTCCTTCTCTCTCGCCGCCTTTGTCTCTTGTTGCGCTACTGTAGTTCTGATGGTCTCGACTATTTAGATGGCAACTCGCCGCAACATTCGTCGACGGGCAGCGCACCCACAAGCCCCAGCTCGCCTAGTGAGAGTCAGCCGGACACAGGCATGCGGTTCAGGGAGCCGCCGCCGTCCAAGGTGCTGCAGAACAAGGAGTTCAGCTTCACTGTCTCTGTCAAGAACTTGAAGAACATCTTCACCGCGTTCAACAATCCGCTCGCCTACGCCGGTCACCAGGTGGGCAATGACGCCGACTCGGGCGCCTACTGCGCTCCCGCCGCGTCCACCACACGCAACCCGTGGGGCGCCCCCGTTCCGATGCCCATGGATGACGGCGAAGAGGAGGGCGGTAGCAGCTTCAGCAACTTCGAGATCCCCATCGACGTCGTGGTCGAGGAGGAGGGCGGCGGCATTCTTCACCCTCGCGATTACAGGATCAGGTACTGCTTCCCTTCTTCTTCCTCTTCAACGATCTCTCGAATCCGCTTCTAAGCCCTCTCGCTCTTTCCGTGCTTCAGGTGTTCGGTTCTCGACAAGCAAGAAGGGCTCTACGTCTTCTTCGTCAAGCTGAAAAAGAATTCGCACTACGGACGCACGCGCTTCATCATCAAGATCAGGAGGAAGCAACCGACGAAGCAAGAGCGCAATCTCGAGTACCTCGAAACGGCGCTTCTCCACAACAGCAACAAGGACGGACAGCTGAGGCTCGGCAACGACCAAGGCGCGAGAGGGGACCTGCTGGTGTCGCATCCAATCGTGGTCATCTCCAAGGAAAGAAAGACCAAGCGCAAGCGCGGTAAGCCCGAACAAAACTAGAGGCCTCGATCAAGAGGCTTTCGGCGATGGCAGGAACAACAACTACAACGAACGATACACCAGCAGGTCCCCGCAACTCGGCGTCATCATCAACATCTTCTCTTCGACGAAGCAATCAACCCCGTTCACCACGTCTTCCGGGTTCCCGCCGTCCACCACCACCACACCACTCCACGCTCAATTGGACCCGCTCTCGGTCTTTGGCGCGGAAGACGTGGCCCACAACACCCTCAACTCAACTCTTGCACACTTCTTGTATCATCACCTTTCAGTCATCATCAACATGAGCACTCTCTTCTCAGCGACGCTTACATTTAGTGCTCCTCCTTTCCCCCCCGCGCCGCCAAGTTCTTTTTATTTCCACAAACACATAAAGATGGAGAAAGATGACCAGGCCACCTCGAGGTCCGCCACGGCGAGCATCGATGAGCAAACGCTGGCGCAACTGCAGCAGGACAAGGCCCACCATGCTCCCAACGGCACCTTCCTCAACCCCTGGTCCACTTTCGGTAGGTTCGGCCCCCCCCTTCTTCATTATTCTTATCGGACTAGAGATTAAACTACGTTGGTGCGCAGTTGCGCGCAACCCCAAGGACTTTCTCAAGTTTGTGAGCGGCAATGGCGAGTCATTCCCGGACGCCGAGCTCCTCCGCAAGGTCAAGGCTTCCCTCGCCGCATTGCTTAGAGTGGTGGGCATCAGTGATGATTGACATTTGGGGCTGTACCTTCAGACCTACCCGATCGCTGCGGTGGTGCCGGAGGCCATCGCGACTCCTGCTCCCGGTAGCCTGCAGGCCACTTGGATTGGTACTCGTGCCAGCTTTGTTTGTTGGCGGCAGACCGCATTTCATCTCATGCGGGCGAGGTACCTATCGGTGATCAGGTCACGCCACACTTCTACTACAGATGGATGGCTACAACGTGCTCACTGATCCAGGTGCTCACCACCATCACTACGCGCGTGTGTGGGGCACAATGCGTGCTTTTGCTGATGCTAACCCTTGCACACTGCAGTGTGGTCCGACCTGTTGAGCCCGCCTTGGCTGAGCATGCTGGGCATTCCTCGCTTCACGCCACCCCCGATGACCATCGACGAGCTTCCCGCCATCGACGTCGTCGTCCTTTCGCACAACCACTACGACCACTGCGACGCTGACGCGCTACGGTATGACCCCCCCGCATGTGATGGACCCATACAACACGCTGCTCATTCACATTCCTCGTGCGTGTGTCGCGTGCTTGCATCATCAACAGACGACTGGCGTCCCTGCCCACGCCGCCGCTGTTTATTGTGCCGCTGGGACTGGGCGAGTGGCTCAGGGCGAACAACGGCACCGAGGACGATCCGTCCACGGTGATCGAGCTCGATTGGTGGGAGGACCACGTCCTACCGAGCAAGTGGCCCGCCCCCGAGCGCAGCGGCGACTGCGACGATGACGAAGCGGAAGAAACTGAGCGCGAGGAAGCCGAGCCGCAGCGCCAGCCGGGACTGCGCATCATCGCCACGCCCTGCCAGCACTGGAGCAATCGCGGGCTCTTCGACAAATGCAAGTCGTTGTGGTTCGTTAATCTCACTATCCCCCTTCAATGGCCCTTTCTAGTGGCTGAGCCCCCCCGGGTGCAGGTGCAGCTTCGCTCTGCTGGGCCAAACGCAGAGGGTCTTCTTCGCAGGTGACACGGGCTACTGTCCCGTCTTTGAGCAGATCGGCGCCCTGCTCGGTCCGTTCGACTTGGCCGCCCTCCCCATCGGTATGCGTGCAGCTCGCGCCCAGTTGGTGGTCTTGTTCGGCACAAACGGCCAAATGAGAGATCTAATGATGTGCGCAGGTGCCTACGAGCCCCGAGAGACGCACAAGTCTGTCCACATCAACCCGGCGGAGGCGGTCCAGGTACTATTCGCCATTGCTCATATGTGTGACGACAGCGTTTGTAACGCGCACGCCACCGCACACAATCATCATCGCACACGCACAGATTCACGTGGATGTGAGGGCACAGCTCAGCATCGGCATCCACTTTGGCACGTTTGGCGGACGCCTCTTTGGTACGCTACGCACGCTGCCTCTTCCTTCTCAGGCCGATCCTGACCCTGGGCCGGGTTGATGGTGGTTGGTGGTGATGTGCCACAGGGTACCGCCCCATCTTGCGGCCGGTGCAAGATCTGGCCGTGGAGCTGGAACGGCGCGGCATCGACCCGGCGCACTTTGTCACCCTCGCCCACGGGCGCACACTGGCCTTGTGAAAACAACCACCACCTCCCGCACGTGCGACACCGAACATGAGAACAACCAAACTGGGCACAGAAGAAGAAGCTTCTTCATGAAGAGGCATGGGCGAATGCGAGACGTGGATCATCGGTGGAAGGTTCCCGATCGTCGTGTTCCCTGAACCCGATAGGGTTTCCCGCGCGTTTTCGTCGGCTCATTCTCGCATACCAGAGGCTTCGCGCGAACGCGAGCGTCGCACCAATTGCAAAAACAAATCACAACCACATCGGCCATCGCTACACGACATCACGAGAAAAGATGGCCACTTACGGCACGGAACAGGGGGGCTACTATGGAGGAGGAGGTGGAGGAGGCTTGCAGCCACCTGCTGGAGGGAATCCCTACGCGTACCAGCCGCAGCCCACAACGTCCTACCCACCTCCCCAGGGCCAATATCCGCCACCGCAGGGCCAGTACCTGCCCGATCAGCAGTGGGCTCCCTCCTCGCCGCCCCCGAAGGAATTCGGTGCGCCCGGTGGAGGAGAGTACTACGAGGAATCGCCTCTCCAGGTACGGTTCTCTGGATATTGCTGTGATTTGGCATTGATGAATAATGAAATCATAAGCTGACGTACTTTCTTTTAAAGCAGCCAGCAGAAAAGTTCCAGCCTGCGAGCGGCTACCGTGATTTCGCGTTCTACATCGCCTTCGTCGTCCATCTCTTGGCGGCTGGTGCCATCTTTGGCATTGGCTGGTTCACCTTCGCGAGTGGCAAGGGTGCCGACAACAGCGAAGGAAAGATCATCAACGAAGATGTGCGTAGCCTTGCGGCTCTAGCCCGTCTTCTTTACCAGCCTTTACGCTTGGTGCCCCGGTTTCTCACGCCTCGCTGTGCGATGGTTTGTACAGGACCTCGACAAGACGACCACTTTCCACATTTTCCTCACAGCTGCCGTCTGCGCAGCCGTCGCTGCGCTTTCGGCCGGCCTGTGGTTGGTGATGTTCAAGTACTTTGCCAGACAGTTGATCTACCTCTCGATCGGCTTCTCTGTACTCTTCACCGCCGCCATCGCCGTCTTCTCCTTCATCTATGGTGCGAGATCATCTTCGTCTCACGTGTTCGTTCTTTCGTTCACTCTTCTCACATTTAACGACACACGCACACGCACACCACACAGGCAACATCTGGGCCGGCGTCATCTTCGCCATCTTCGCGGTGATCTCGGCTCTGTTCTTCTGGCTGTGGAGGAGCCGCATCCCGTTCGCCGTGGAGATGCTCAAGACCGTCTCCGTGCTCGTGCAGAACTATCCCGGCACCACCACCGTCGGTACATATTTAGAACGCGTTTCCCTATTCAGCCAAACAACTCTTCTTCGTTCTCACCCTCTTCTTTTTCTTTCCAGCCTTTGCTTCGCTGATTTTGCAGTTCGGTTGGTTCGTGTTCTGGAGCGTCGCCATCTTCCTCGTCCAGCAGTACACTCCCGTGCTGGCCTACGTCCTCAGCATCTACCTCCTCTTCTCCTTCTACTGGGTCTCGCAGGGTACTCACCGCACCCTCCATCTTACGGACTCACTCGCGCGCTGCCTGCTGATTTGGTTGGTGTCGACTATGGCAGTGATCAAGAACGTGGTGCACGTCACGGCGGCTGGTGTGTTTGCGTCGTGGTACTTCCTGCACGGCACGGTGGGCGTGCCGCCCAACCCCACGCTCGGCTCGTTCAAGCGCGCCACCACCACCTCGTTCGGCTCCATCTGCTTCGGCTCCCTCATCGTTGCTCTGCTGCGCACGCTTCGCATGATCTTCCGGTCGTTCAGGCAGAACAGTGACAACATCGCCATCGTCATTCTGGCCTTCATCGGCGAGTGCATCGTCGCCTGCCTCGACCAGCTGCTCGAGTACTTCAACCAGTACGCCTACGCACAGATCGCGATCTACGGCAAGTCCTACTGCCGCGCGGCCAAGGACACCTGGCACCTGGTCCACAGCCACGGCATCCAGGCCATCATCAACGACAACATCATCGGTACTTCACACACACACCGCTTGCTCTCTTCATGCGGCGTGTGGTGTTGTTGTCAATTGTCAACTAACCTCCGACCCTTGCTTCGCGACCTCGCAGGGAGCGTTCTTTCTATGGCCTGCCTTGCGTCGGCCGTGGTCACCGGCGTGCTCGGTGGCGCAATGATCTACGCGCTCGAGGACGACTACTACATTCCTGTCGGTATCATCTGCGGACTGGTGCGTCCTCTTCCTCTTCCTCCTCCTCTTCACCATCACCATCACCATAACTCACGTTTTCCCCCCCCCCTCACAACACACAGATCGGCTTCGTGATGGTGATGCAAGTGTTGGAGATCGTGGAGAGCGCGGTGACGACCATCTTCGTGTGCTTCGCCGAGGAGCCCGAGGCCCTGCAGAGGAACAGCCCCGAGCTCTACCACAAGTTCCAGACCACCTACGGCAACATCTGCGACTTCCTTGTCTAGAGAGGAAGGCCCCACCAAATGGGAGTCGTCGTCTTGAGGCGAGCGACGCCTTGTTTTTGTTTGTTCATAATTTTTGCTTCTTTACTCAAAGGCTGGCGAGGTGGTCGAGCCACGACGTTGCGGTCCTAGACGCGGGGCTGTGGTCGCCAGAGCTGCTGGCCCAGCTGGAGGGCCTCCGTCTGCCATCTGCGACAGAGTCACGCGCGCCTATTGGTTGTTCACACAAGTGCCCGGGCACGGGCTGGTGACGGAGGTGGGCCACGGCGCGTGGTATGTCGAGCCACCGCAGCAGCTGCAGAATGTTGGACGCAAACGCCGGGTAGTTGGCGCCCTACTTATGGCATCCGTGTAACTGTTACAGTGGTGTGTCCTGTTGACGCCCAACCACAACAATCACCACAACAACGATGATGACGACAAACATCAGCACCTGGTCGAGGCGTGTGAGGGGGCAGCAGTGGGGGCGCACCTGACGTAGGGCAACAGAATGCTGGGGATTCCACAGAGAGACTGAAGAGGTTTCTCCTGCTGGAGGAAGGCATCAGACATGAGCAGGTGGCTGTCTCTAGTGTGCAGGTTGTTATTCTTGGAGTGGCTTCCTCCTCATCATCCTCAGCTGGTCAGTGTGGTGCTACACTACACACACACTCTGTGCAAACAAAAATGAGAGAAAATACCATCATCCTCTTCATCATCCTTGTCATCATTGTCATCATCACCATCATTCCTTAACATAACACACCTTTGCAATAAAAGGGTATGGACACAATACCTTTTCAATTCACACCTTAGCTAATTTTCTTGACACCCCCACCCCACCATACCCTGCTGTGACCTCCTCTCCTCACTCCATACACTCACTTCCCTTTCCATCATCACCCTCCCTCCTACTACAACTACAACTATTACTACTTCTGCTGCTGCTTCACCACTCAATGCACACACATACACATTAAACACCAGGCTGGGAACACCCTGATCTCATCCACTGTGACCAGGGCTCCATTCACCAAGGCTGGTCTCACAGTGTCACCCCAGGTGATTGTTGGTGCAGTAGGCAGCACAAAGGAAGTGTTGGGCTGTGGTGAAGGCAATAGCTAGGGGATTGACAGCAGCAGTAGCCTGATGGCAGTAGTGGTAGGCTGTGGAGGTGGTCACATATGGTGCTGGGTTGGCATCAATTTCTGCAGGGAGACATGAAGGTTAGGGGTGGACCCAGCTCCAACAAGGGGCACACCTGTACATGCCTACAAGCAAAGAGGAAAACAAATTCTGCACACCAAGTTACCTTCATGCATCAGCTTCAGCTTCATATCATCCTTGTAGGCACCACCACAGGACCTCCATCACCAGGTATTGCAGTCTGTGTTTTCAAGTCAGTTGCCATTGGATGGTGAGGCACCTCCCTTTGGAAGAAACACCTTCCACCTTGATCATCTAGACCTCAGGGTGGCTTCTGAACATCTTGTTGGCCATCTCACCTCCTCCTCTCCCTACCAAACAGGAATTATTCACCAGGTCACTCATCCAGCCTCCCTTGAGGATCCAACTTGCCACTTCCATTGTTTCTGCCCACTCCATGAGGCACTCACATCCCTTGCTCCATCTCATTGGCCATTGATTTGTTGCATATACCAAAGCCTGTCTCCTCCCTCTTCTTCCTCTTCTTCCTCTTCCTCCTCCTTCTCTTCTGTTTCTTTCTTTTCAGTTCCCTTCTCACTCCTCCTGATTCTTGTTTGCCAGCCAGTAATCTTTTTCTGACTTGGACCACACAGTGACTGTGTCATGTGCACCAAGGAACTTGTTCATGTCTCAGTCATGTGTGTCATGTGTGTGTGCTGCACTGTGCTGTGCTCCATGGAAACAGAAGCTGCAGTGTGCATTCAGATCAGGTGTTGGACCACTTCTGTAGTTCAAACAGTGGGCTGATGATGTTCTGATGCAGGAAGGTAGCCCTGGCCTCCTTGTCTGGATGCTCCATCTTGTCCACCTTGTCAAGGAACAGGCAAAGTTTGTGCCATGGCACCAGTCAAGCAGTGTGTTCACTATCTTCAGCTCTTCCTCCTTGCTGTGCAACTCTGAAGACAACTCCACTCTCAATTGGTGTTCAAGGGAGTAATGCATGCTAAAGTGGGATAGCATGTTGTGCCAAAAACTGTGCTGGAATAAGGCAAGATGACTGTGGAATCCAGTGAAAAACTGCTCGAAAATTCATTTTGTCCTGCTGGGGGGGGGTATGGGGAGGAAAGATGACCAGGACGCTTGGCGCGCGACCTCCTTGGTCCTGGTTCGCACCACAACACACACGACACGACCAACGGCACGACACGCACGGCACAACACACACAACACACATGACCGGTTATGCCAGGGAAAGGTGGGGTGTGAGGTGTGGGGGTCCTTGAGAAAGACGCGACAGGTCGAAGTTCCGCATCTCCGGCGGTTGGCCCTCCTTGGAGACACTTCACCGGTATCCAAGGATACACAGGCATTAGCAGAATGTGGTTCAGCCTCTAGACCAATCGACATTCACTTCTGAATCTCGATTTTTGATTTCGCGCCACAGGATTGGTGCAGAAGCCTGAACCACATTCTGCTCATACCAATGGCCCGGTGAAGTGAACAGGTCCAGCACCTGCTAACGTTGCTCTTCGACTCCAGTTCGGCCGTGAGCAGCGGCAGGCACACACTCCCCGCAACCGACGGAGATGGCGCGAGCCAGCAATGAATGTGGAATGTCCCAGAATAAACCTTCTTTTGGTTGTGCAACTTCAACTTTTGGTGTCGATTGCACATCGCGATGGCACGAGGCGCTGGTTGAAAGGGGGACCACGTGGCTGGCGCTCAGGAGGGCAGGTTCTGTGTGGTGCGGGGCTGGGCGAGGAGGTAGGTGGCGCGTTCGATGGCGATGACCCACGCCATCTTGTCCTCCATACTTCGCGCCTCCAGCAGCAACGACTGCTCCGGTCTCTTCCGGCTCCGCAGCAGGAAGCACCGCTCGCCCTCCTCGCCTGTTCCCCACAACGCTCCGGTCAGAGAGCTGACTCGACCATTGTGTGCGGTGTGCGCGTGCGCGTGTGCGTGTGCGTGTGCGTGTGCGTGTGCGTGTGCGTGTGCGTGTGCGTGTGCGGGTGAAGGCACGCACCGGGTACGGGCGGGTTGTGGTCGAGCTGGACGCTGGCGAGGAAGACGAGCACCTTGAGGTGGTACTTGTTCTCCGATCGGAGGTGCTTGGTGACGACCAGGAGGTCGTTGAACAGGAAGACCTGCCGCACCTTCCGCTGGTTGCGGCGCATGACCCGCGACCCGTCGAGCATCAGTAGCGACCCCGCGCCCTGGAATACTCGCGATGGCACCACCAGATTCTGCAGCGTCATCCGGCCGAGGCAGTCAGTCAGTTTGACATCACACACACACAACACAACACAACCGCACATACTGCACACGCCGCACACACTGCACACAGGATTGATAGTTTGGGCAGACGTACAGGAATTTGAGGCTGAAGGAGCTCGTGAAGGCGAAGGATGGCCTGGTAGCGCTCGTAGTTGCGCTGCGTCTGGTTGGCCGACTCGGTGAATCGCTTCATGACGTCGAGCGCCTGGCACAGGTCGGCGTAGTCGATGTGCGTCGTTGGCGTGTGAGCAACCAGCGCATCGAGGAGCAGGATATATCGCGGGATCCGTTGCACCGGCTGTTGCATAAGCATATATTAGTATAATGCATCATATAGAGTTATGTAAAAAATATGTGTATAGAAATTAAGATATGTGTAATATGTTGTTACGGTACCATGATGAGGATGGAGGGCAGATCTGTGTGGACAAAGTCTTCCGCGCAGGCCTGGACAACAAACACGGAGCGTTGTGTGGGTAATTAACGAGGAGAGAGAAGAAAAGAAGGCGCGACGATTGGACTGTTCTGTTGGAGGTACGGTACCTCCAGGAACTGCTGGAAAGACGAACTTTGGAGAGCGTGCTTGAAGGCTGTGAGGGAGGCGTTGTACTGGATCATGTAGCGGTTGTACACCTTGAAATAGGGTTGCTGAGTGCGCGTGTATGTGCGTGCGTGTGTGCGAGATCAGAAAGTGAGTGACTCGGAGCGGTAAAACGCTTGCGAATGGGCGGTGGTACGATTTCGGTGAAGACATGTGCCAGGGTCTGGTCCACGTGCCAGTGCTCGAGCTGCTGTCGCAGCTTGCCCTCGAGCACCGTCGCGTAGAGCAGAATGGTCTCAGTCTCCGAGAAGATTGTCTGTGCGCAATTAAGAGGCGCCATTGGGAAATGGTGGTCAATCACTTCAATCCTAGCCAAGGGCTGGAGCGGAAAGGCGGAGTGTGCCTTGATCTCGAGCGCACTAAGGATGGGCTTTGGCTGGTGGGACTCCAGTCGCTTTCTGATCTGGGTGCACTGCTGGAGGGCCTTGATGTAGGTCTGCTCCGTGGTCCACAGCTCGAGTGCTATCCGATGTCGCTTCCCTGGCGATACCGTCACACGTGTTAGCATAGTGTTCTATTAAAATTATATATAAATGATATAAAGAGATTAAAATATATTTAAATATATATTGTCACTAAATAGAGAAATGTATGTGGAAGGCGGGCGTACTGTGCCGAGGATAGACTCGCATCGCTTGTCGGCGGCGAATGCACGACTGCGCGAGCACCAACGATCGCTCGTGCTCCAGCCAGAAGGCCTGTGTAGTACGTACAACAGCTCAGGATGGGCGCCCATCGTGCGGTGGCGCGTGTAGGGTCAGGCGCTCGAGCATACCTGGTCTTCGGGCGTCAGGGCGTAGTCGCCGAGCGTGGTGCTGGTAGAGGTGACGGACAGCGGACGGCGCGAGCTGCTGTCCGGCGGAGGAGGCCGGGCTTTTTTCACTCGCGCCGACCCCTCGAACTGTCGCGGTAGCCCCGGGAACGCTGCCGCAATCTCTCTGGAGAGCCGATCGATGAATGCTCAGAGTTCGCGGCATTGGCGTGCGTGTGCGTGTGCGTGTGCGGCGGTGCGTGTGCGTGTGCGGCGGGTGCGTGTCAGGCAGGCGTGGATACGCGTTTGGCGAATCAGGCTTGGCCTGGGCAAAGCCGAGTGTGTCGGATCTGTTGCCCAGCAGCTCCACGCTGTGCGACAGCAGACCCGCGGGAAGGAGGGCCACCTTGCTCCACAGCGCCGTGTTGCTGTGCTCCTGTTCTCCTCGCTCTTGCTTCCCTCTGGACCCGCACCACAGCACAGGGCACACCCGCACCCGCACCCG